TTTGTTTGAGTGGGTTAGATTTATATATATATATATATATTTTTTTGTGGGGTCTGTTTATTAAAATTAAAAATTAAAATGTATTTATACCAATAAAATTTATTATCTCATGGTTTCCTAATTAACGCCTACGATTTTTTTAATGAATATTTTCACGGTGAAATGGGTTGAGTTTATTTGAGCTTATAATTAGAAATTCCCTAGTTATTTCACGGATCATCCTCGATTATCATCACGGCTACGCCGTGATAAGTAATGAATTACTGTAAAATAACTAGTACGTAACTTATGCAAAAATTAATTAACGTTTAAAAAATTGCAAGTTGATAGAACAACGACAATTAAGCGATAAAATATAACAATGACAAGAGCTTATCAGTGCAAGTAACTTCTTTTGTGACCCGCAGTGACTGATAGTACATGTTACAAACCACTACGTTTGTGCAACAAGAAATTCTTTCTACTTTGCTAGCGTTTAACGTCTACAGTATGTCCGGATTGGCTCACCCAACTTAGCATTCTTAACAGAATCTAAAGGACGCTATCTACCTCTGATTATGGCGACATTGAAATATTTGAATTCTGTCTCTTGATAGAATTTCGATCCCTAACAAATCGGAAAGAATACTCGCCACTATATGATATGAAAACAACAATATTAATAATGTTCAATGTCGTGTTTTAAACAATTTACTTAATATAATACATTTAAAGTACAGGTGAATTTGTAAAGTAAATATACACATCATTAATCTCCATACCTTCCTTAATACATTATTAACCAGCCCAACATCGCTATTTAGATCCTTCACACGCTGTTTACCCATTCCTTTACATACGATTATGATCTGGCTAGATACAAATCTCGAACTTCTTTCTATAGGCAATTTGAGATAACTTGTAAATTAATCATAATAGCAATTAAATATATTTTATATAATACATTATTTTTCTACATAAATATCTTAATAATCTGTGATTCAAATGGATAAAATTTTTATATATTATTACTTAATAATCTAAATTCTATGAAATTTTTATATGTTATAAGTAATTTAATATATAAAAAAGTATTTAGAAACTTTTGATAATAAAAACTTTTATCAATATAATAATTATTAAAATCAAATATTTTCTAATTATTATTAGTTTTATATATTATTTCTATAAATTAAATCTAGATTACATATATTATATTTATTTATTGTTATTTATAATTTCATTTATTAAATATTTTTTTTTATAAATAAAAATAATTGAATTTAAAACGTAATAATGATTTTTATTTAAATCATAATTATTTTATTATTTTAATATAAATTTAATATTTTTTTAACAAAGTAACAGTTTTGTGATTATAATGATTTATTAAAAAAATAGGTAAAAAGAAATAATAAACTAAGAATAATTTTTATAGTATTTTTAAAAATAAAAACAAAAAAAAATTTAAATTTTTTAATGTAAATTAAATAAATTAGAATTTTATAATATTGTATAAAAAAAAAAATATATTTTTTATAATTATTAGAATTTTTCATCAGATAAAGAACAATAAATTAAATATATTTTACATTTTATGAATAAATCTTTTTCTATACTATTAAAATATATGTATTTCTTTTAATTTTATTTTCATTTATAAAAACTAAAAAGATCTTTTATTATAAAACTTTATAGATTTTATTTCAAAATTTAAACGCATTAATATTTAAAATATGAATTTAAAATATCTTAAATTAGAATACACTATTGAAATATCTCAAATATAAAAATCATTTGAGATTATATTTGTTCTAAATATATTTTTGTTTTAAATAATTATTTCAAATACATTAAATGCTTATTTCAAATATTTAAAATTTTATTGAATGATAATATATAAGATATTAATTTTAAAGATAAGTAAAAATATATTTTAATATATTATTAATATATTAATAATTTATTATAAATTTAGATTTTTGATTAATTTTAAATAAGTATTTCAATATATTAAAGATCATTATACTCAATTTTTTTTAGGTATATCCTCTTTATTTTAAGAAAACTAATATAATAATATTAAAATTATTTAAATTATTTATTAAGTTAGATAAATAACAATTCTTTAATTTGATAATAGAAGAGAATTTATATCTAAAATTATAATAAACTTAAAAATTATTAATGAAAACTTTAGATATTATAATTTTAAAGATTAATTAATAAACATAATTATAAATTAGTAAATTACTTAAAGTAGATGAAATAAATAATAGTACAAAATAGAGTTTTAATTTTTATAAACAATAAATATTATTATTTATTATATTATTAATCAATCTTTTTATTAATTAGTTTTAAAAATAAACTTAAAAGTAATTTGAAATTTTTATATACTTTATAATAGGTTATGCAATTTTTTTTGAAAAAAATATTTCTAAATATATATTTATTGATTAATATAATTAAAAATTAAATTATTTTAATAATATTTATATTTTAATTATATATTAATAAAATTGTATAGAATATTTATGATAATACAGTCAACTCTTATTATAATGAACTCTATGTCTTAGATCTCAACTTCGCTATTAGGCTATAGTGAAGATTTTAAGAGATTTGATTGGCCAATTCGCTATAACAAGAGTATTTTTATTATATATATTCAAAAAATAAATTATATCAAGAATTCACTATATCAAGAGTTGACTGTATGTATAAATGCAATAGTTTTAGTTTTCAAAATAATCTGATAATAATAATTTAATATTATATTTTTTTTTAAAAAAATTATTGATATTATTAATTTATAATTTAATTTATCTTTTAGATATATTTAGTATAAAATAGATTTTTTTAAATTAAGGTTAGTGTAATATAATAGTATAATTTAATGTACAATATATTTTAATTATAATAATTATAATTGTCATAATTATTTTTTAGTTATAATATAATATTTATTATTGGTTTTTAATTTTAAAGAAGTATGTTTTTAAAATAATAATAAATATCACTATTAATACAAATTATTCTTATAAAAATAATTCAAATTCTTTCAATTTTTATTTTAAAAATAATTCAAATTTATAGAAATTTTATTTTAAAAATAATTTAGATTCTTTATCCTTCTTTAAAAAATAATAATAATACTAATTCAAGTATTTAATCTTTAATTATATTACAAGTAAATTTAATAATTATAATTATTAATATTTTTTATTAATTTCTAATAATTTATTTTAAAGTAATCTAAAGTTAAAATATATAAATTCTGAATTATTATTTAATTATAATATTAAAGTAAATTTATCATAAAAAGAAATTAAAAATTTATGAAAAGGATATTTTGAAATATCATAAACATTAGATTTTAGTATAATACAAATCTATACAAGATTTATTTAAAATTATAAACTTATAAAATACATGAATTATATGAAAAGAAGCAAAGTTTAAATATTAGAGTTTGTAAATTTTCGAATCTTATAGACTTATCTATTAAAAAACTTTAGAGATAAATTTTAAAATATATAAAGTTAGTTGATTTAATTGATAGATTTAAGTATTTATTTATTAATTTATCATTGTTTTTTTAAATATTATTTATAAATTTATTATATAATTGAAACTGATTTAAGTAATGAACCTGATAATTATTATAAGATGCATAAAATGAAGTCAGAAAGAAATTAAAGAATTAGGAAAAATATATGGAATCAAATAACAAAATTCTTTGAATTTTAAAATTGGAGATATAGTAACTTTATTTCAGATAAGATTATTTAAAACTTATAGACCTAATTTACCTTGTAAAATTATTGAAAGGTTATATAAAAATTATTATAAATTGGATTTCAAATCTGGAATTTGAATATCCGTTAAATGGAAGTAACTTAGAACCAGTATCATTGAATAATTTAATTTGTAAAAAAGTGGAAATATTGTAATATAAATTGTCATCCAGGTGAGTATCGCAATAATCCACCAATATAATAAATAAAAATAAAATCATATAAATGTATTTTCCATTAATTTATTTGAAATAAATATAAAATACAAGGTTGTAATTTAATAATCTCATTACTATTCAAAGTGATCATGATATCTAAAGTGGCCATTTGGAATATCCAAAATAAGCATTTGGGACATGATCATTTACAAATGCGCATTTAGGGTAAATTAACGCATTTTGGTTACAGCATGCCTATTTGATAACAGTTAAAGGCTTACAAATGGATTCGGTTGTAGTAATGCTTGGGATTTCAATTTTTAGGTTCAGGAATAATCAATAAATATGGTTATAGTTACGGTAAGATAAACCTTATTTTACTTTTAGAAGATATGCGGAATCTGCTGTTTTAATTATTTCTTATTTAGATTTCTAAAGTCTAATGATTTTATTGTCTTAAACTTTAGGTTGATTAACCTATATTGGTTTATTCATTTTCTTGTATTTGATTTATTTCATTAGTCAATATTCAATGGTTGTGTCCTTTTTTATTATTTTCATAAAATTTGTAAAAATTGCAAATTCCAAGTTGTAAAAAATAGTAAACCAAGACAACCAATTGTCAACTAATGATATAATATATAGAACGTCAGCTACAGCATGAAATAGTTTATCAAGGCTAATAAACCTAACATGTCGTGTATGATCGAAACGTTGCTTCTGTTTTTGTTGATGTTGCAAAATATTCTGTTATGCATTGTTGCAATTGATTAAATTGATCATGTCGTTCACTTGCTTTTTGTAACTGTTGTATGGGGAACTGATCGTTGTAAACAATAAAATTTATTTAATTAGAATTTATCATTAATGATAAAATTGTCTAGAATCACGTGATCCTTAATTATAAATCACCGAGTAACATAAATGTAACAAAATTGCTATATTTTAAAACTTTTTAAATAAATATTACACGAAGTGTACGACAAAAAATTACAAATCGCGAGTATCACAAATTAAATTTGTTTCGATCCCTCCTTCTCTGTAACGAGGCGGTTTTCCTGCGTCACAATTTACTGATTAAGGGATAATCCTCTTTAATCATCCTGCTTGCTCTCCATGCAACCATGGCAGTAGGAGCATTAGTATTACCATTTGGAACAATTGGAAAAATTGATGCGTCGACAACTCGAAGATTTTTGGTTCCATAAACTTGAAGTCGATGATTAACACATCCTCCTTGAGATTCTGGTGCCATTTTAACGGTACCGCATGGATGAAACGATGTATATGACTAGAGAACGAAAAATAAGATATAGTAAATCAATAATTGTATTTGAAATTTCCTTGCCACGTGTGTGGATGTAAATTACCTTTCCACGAATATATCGTTCCCAATCTTCGTCACTCATCTCTTCGTCCACACTACACCATTTTCCAAATTCATCATTAAATCCAAGTTCTTTTACGCCCCAATCAGTACTTAATGGAGGTTGTTTAAGAATTTCACGTGATAATTTTAAAGAACTAATCATTCTATACAAATCATCAGGTTTTTCATAATAATTGAGAAATATTTTGGGTTGCATAAATGAATTTGAACTACATAATTCCAAGTGTCCGGCACTCGATGGGAGATTTAAAACAGAGATCAGAGTAACCGTTTCAAAATTTGGTGGAGATTTTTTAATGACATAATCATTAATAATAGGATCATATACATGAGTGCCAACTATAAAATTATGATTAAGGAAATGTTTCAAGAAATTTAAAAGATTCAACAAATTATTATCGTATTAACTTACCATAAGATTGAATATCAGGATTTTCATCAAGGAATTCTTCGCGACTGGGAATTTTTCCTTTAACATTACCTTTATAAAAAATTCCAAGTTTAAACCCATTACACCAAGAATGAAATTGAGAGGCATTTATATTATCTGGAATAGAAATTTTTCCAGTAACCGTACATATAGGATGATCCTGCAGATTACGTCCAATTGGTAATTCTTTACGAACTTTGATATTATATGCTTCTAAATTATTTTTTGGACCGATTCCTGATAGCATCAAGATCTTTCAAATTTATTAAATAAATGAATATATATATATATATAAAACGGACTTAATCACTAATCAACTCATGACAATTTCACTCTTACCTGAGCGCTATTAATAGCACCACCACAAATAATTACTTCTCCCTTCGGAGCAATGAAAGCATTATGTACTCGACCGTCATAGAAATATTTAACGCCAATTGCTATATTCTCATCTTTCTTTTCTTCATCCCAAATAATATTCAACATGTGAGCAGAAGATTTAACAACAACAGCAACGATCTTTGCAACGCCACTCGCCAATCCATAAGGAGATCCTAATGGTTTTAAAGGAGGGTATGTTTCAACCTTTTTCAATGCATCTGTCAAATAACTGTCAGCCAACGAGCAGCGTTGTCCATCTTTTGTTGTGGTCTACATTAATGTTGTTATATTAAAATTGAATTACATAAACAACATTTAAAAGTTTACTCATTAACTACTTACTAATTTACCTGATATTTTCCAATTCCATTTTGTCTAGCACCATTAAAATCGTTATTATAAGGAATGCCAAGATTTTTTGCAACTTTAATGAAATCTTTTGCAATCTCATAATTATCGTTTGGACTATCTTGTACATTAAGTAGACCATTGAATCCATGATACTTTTTAAATTCTTCATCAGGGTTTTCACGAGTATTGTTTTCGATGTCTTTGAAAGCTTTTATAAATAATTAGTTGTCAAATTTAAATTTTTCATAACATATATAAACAAGAATAAGATTAATAATACATACCCTCAAGACAATGATCGTAATCCCAAATTTTATATTCAGGACCTTGGGCCGCCCAATTATCGTAATCTGCCTTTTGACCTCGCCTAATATCATAAATGTTATTAATTTAAACCATCCAATTTGAACTTTTTACTTAAAAACAAAACCTATTTCAAAATTGAACGTAAATTTTTTTTTTTTTGTTAAACAAAAAAAAAAAACTTACATATAAATCATTGCATTTACGGTGCTACATCCTCCAATTACCTTGCCACGTGGATAAGGGAACCCTTTATTCAATAATTCTTTTGTAGGTTCGATAATGCTGGTCATTTTTTGATTTTCAGTTCGATATCCCCAATCTACCGTACGTGCTCGATAAGCCTATTTATAATACATCGTTTAATCAAAAGGAATTTGATAATGTATTTGATCCCAGAATACTTACCGAAGTATGAGTACAAGGTAAACGCATTATATCATTAATTTGTGCATTCGGTGGACCAGCTTCTAATACCAAAATATTAACATTGGGAACATTATAAATCAGTTCTCTTGCTAATACACATCCGGCAGTTCCAGCTCCAACAATGATAAAATCATACATTTCATCGGCCTTGTTAAATTTTTGACGTTGATCGCGGTAATTAATATACTCTGACCAAAGATTGCGAGTATCTGCATTAATGGCCTTCGTATTTTTGTCGTTTGATTCTTTCATAATGTATATATATATATAAATTTAAATAAATTATTATTATTATTATTTTTTATTGAGGAAGTATTGGATGAAAATATGCAACCTATTTTTTTTTTTTTTTTTTTTTTTTGATCCATTAAATAAAATAAAATAAGCATCCGATCCGATAACTCGGAAAGGAAAAAAAATTTTTTTTTTCTTGAATGGGAAATAAGTTACTAATTTAGGATTATAGTATTATTTAGCTGCGAATTTTTTATGTAATGTTGATTGAATAGAATTGCTCTGATCAACTTCTTTTTATAGAATATCTTCAACATTTAAAGATTAGACCCAAACAAAAGAATTATTTTAAAAGCAGGAATGTATCGAATGTGATAGGAATAATTTTTTAATTTTTATTTTCAAGTAAAAACTGAGCATCGAATCATTAAGTTTAAAATTAAATCAACAACAATTAGACACCAATATTTTTTGACGAGATTAAAAATACAATCGAAATTTATATATTCTAGATTGTTAAGTCAATTCTAATATAGTTTTATAGTTCATATTTATTTATATACAGTTGCGGTCAAAAGTATTATTATTCGAACACAAATTAAATTTCTTGTGCGCAGTGATATAAATATATATTCATTTAAGTGATGCTTTTCTTTTATTAAATTTATTATATACGGTAAATAATAAAAAAAATTAATAATATATCATTTTTTATTTAGAACTTATAATATCCTTTATTTTTAACACTAAATAAAGAAAGTTCTTTTGTAATTTTATTATATAATTATGTAAAATAAAAAAAAATAAAATAAAAAATAATGATTAATATTATAATAATTACAATTATTAATATTTAAAATAATGATAAATACTGTTAAAATCAAAGAATTTATCAAAAACCTATGCTGTAACAACGAAAATAAATTGATCTAGCCTAAAAAATATAAAATCAATCAAATAATAGAGAATAATAATAAAATAAAATAACAATGTATTAAAAAAAATAATCTTAGTCATCTGTATTCACCACAGATTGAGATTTGATTTGATTTAACTTAAGAAAAAACAATAAATAAAATTAGTAATCAGAAGTAATTACTAAAATAAAAAAAAATAAAAAAATCAATAATCAAAATAATTAGTCAGTTTACCTTTCTTGCAATAATGAACTGGACAGTTCTATTCGAAAATTTCATCTAGTTCTTAGCACAAAAGATAGAAATAATTTAATCTAAAATAAAAAAATTAAATTATTTATTAAATACAAATAAAAACAATAAATTAATAAATTAAAAAAAAAGAATTTTAGTTAACTTTTACTACATTGATAAATCAGACTATTCTGTTTAAAAAAAAATCACTGAAATTAGAAAAAAATAAAAAATTTAAAAACAAAATGAAAAAATATAAAAAAAATTAAAAAAAAATTAAAAAATAAAACTAAAATATAAAATAAAAAAAAATTAACAAAATAATAAAAAAAATGTAAAAAAATAAAAAAAAGATTGCACAAATAAAGATTTCACAAATGAAAACAAGAAATAAAAACAGAAAAAAGAAAATAAAAATGAATTAAAAAAAATAAATATAAAAAATGAAATTAAAAATATAAAAAAAAAGTTTTTTTATTTATAAAGAAAGATCTGTAAAAGTATAAAAATAAATTTGTAAATATAACTTATATAACTTAATGTTTAATAAATATTACTTAAAAAAAAAGAATGATGTTGATTTTCTTGATTATTATAGGTTAAAAAGTTTAATTTCTTATTTTGTAATTTAACAAATATAATTATTATTTTAATATAAAATTAAATTTTATTTTATTGTGCTATATATAGTATTATAATTTAAAATATTTAAGTATTATATAAAATATAATAATTTAATTATTGAAATTTTTATATATTTACATATTTCTACATTTTGCATAAATATATAGAAAATAAAAACTTTATTAAATTTTGTATAAAATTAATTATTGTAACTTAATTTCTATTAGTTATAATTACTTTTTATTTTTAGATTTTTTTTTTGCATAATGAATTGCAAAGAAGCTTTTTGTTACTGAATCTTATCTTTAAATAAATCTTCTAATACACAGTTTTATTTAACTCTTGTAAGAAACTAATATAGAAAATTATAAAAGCAATTCAAATAATGGATAACTAAAATCAAGATTTATTAATTGATTATTTTGATATAACTTTTTAATATTTTAAAAAAAATAGGAATAGGAAAAATAATCTTTTTATAATTTGGTATTTATTTTTCATAATAGTATAATTTTATTATTGAATTTAAAGTTATGCTAGAATTCTTTCATATGGTAGTTTAAATCAAATAATTGGTCTTTTTTCATAAATTTTATTAGCTTCTTTTCATTATTTATTACAAATATTACATATTCTTAGTATATAAAGTTATGCATTCTTTTTTTTTTTAAAAAAGAAAATAAATTATTAGTTTTGTAAAGCTTTAATCTGAGAATTCAATTAAACTTTTTTAAAAAGATTTAAAGGTTTACTTGTATTATAAAATTTAATCTTATTTAACAATAAGTTTTTATTTGAAATTAATTTAATTTTATTGTATTTTTATTTTTTATTTAATTCTTTCAAATGTCCTTTTATTTTGATATATCTAGAATTATCGTTATGTAAAGTTATTTGTCTTATCTTACCAAAACTTTATTTTTAGATTATTCTGTTTATATTATACAGTCAACTCTTGATATAGCGAACTCTTGATATAACGAATTTTTTGAACAAATATAATAAAAATACTCTTG